GATGGTATAGCATTAATTGTAGAATGTCTTGACAAGTAAAGGATTTTGTAATTCTCCATCGCTTGCCTGATGATGACATAATTAATGTCGAAATATTGAATCCCAACACGATGGCGTGTATTTCAATACTTGGAGTATGTATTATACTTTCCTAGACAGGATAATGCAAGCAGCAATTTAGTAATATAAAGAATTGATCATACAAGCATTGAATAATTGGGGGAAAAGTTTAATGGTAGACTTGTAGTTTTTTTAATCAAATTATATACTTTTATTATCATTATTTGTAATTAACTCTGACTTGGAAGGGCTAGATAGGTAATTAGCTGTTGAATGACGATTCTGACAAAATTGCAGATAAGGAGCAGACCCAATTTATGACTACATCTAATTCATTTTCTCATAGCACTTTTGCAAGAAAATAATGAACTCAAAGCTTCAATTTGTTTACACTGTAATTACTTATACAAACAATCTACTGTAGCAAAGTTCTGAACTTCTGCAACCCTTTTTGGTATCCTTATAAGGATTGGGGAAACATATTTTTGGTTGAGAGATAAACCCTGACTTAGGACTGGAAGGGAAGATCTTAACCAATCCCTCAACTTCCTTCTCTCATCTTTATTTATAATAATAATGGTCATTTATATAGCACCTTTTCCTCATGGTCATAAAACAATTGTATCATGCACATAGGAACCACAAATCTATTCAAAATATAGGTTATTCAGAAACAATTTTTATTTTGATTAAATAATAGCAATAAATTTAAATGGCAAAACAATAATTCAAAATCTTCAGGAAGTCGCCATCCGTCTCCGCTATGGCACAATCCCAGACCCCTACGTAGGGGTATTTATCGTACATGTACTGTCGCCTATACCTCGGGCAATCGCTACAAACTAATCCATGATTGCTTGCCTTAACATATCCCCTATTACTACCTTGAGAGTATGATGTAGCAAACAATTAATCAGACCTATATTGACTATGATCCCTAGCTTATCTGATCAAGGTTAAAGCGACTCCTAACAAGTGAATACCATAATTGATTTTATGCTAGAATGTAGCCTTTAATGCTGAAAATGGTAAACATTCTGTGTTCCACACTTTTGTCTGGTTGTGATGCCGCATATTTACCTAAAATGTACCTATGTGCTGATTGATGTTAGTTACACACGACTTAAGTGATCGGAGTATTACAGTAAACCTCTTTAATACCGCAAAGTATTGTTATCATACATGAATGATCTCAACGTCAGAAGCTCAACAAGTAATAACATTATCAAGGCTTTAGAATATTAATCACAACAATGAATGACCCAACATATTTTGCATGACAGGTTATTGAAATAACATCAATGTTGTTTACATGCTTTATGTACACATATGGTAAGGATCACGATTTGACGTTGATTTCTTAATATGGTCACGCTTGTCGCACACGCCTAGTAGTATCCACTTGAGTACTGCAAATTTACACAACCTTTACAATTCATAAGTTAAAATCTTGCAGGTATAAAAGCACAGGTCCCCGAATTCAACCAAATTTTGTGTTTATACTCCTCCCCAACCCTTTCAATATGTTAATGCATTAGCCAACAGCATTTATAACAATGTATAGCATAGGAATGACAGCGCACTGCAAATTTACAAATTCAGATGGATTCAACTTTTCCATATGGCAGAATCTTACGACCATGATTTTAACTGCAAACATTTCCCACCAGCAGAAACTGATTTTATAGCATATTGGGCAATGACGAGACAAAATTCCAATGTCATACCTCGTAAAAACATTCACACATAAATTTGTTCATTCAATTCAACAAACAATGGGATATTAAGCAGTACCTGAAATTTTAAGAATTCAAATTTTCTAATATTATTTTCCTTTGCAAGGTTTTCATAATGATGAGAACATGGCTGTGTATTTATTTGCACTATTGAACAATAAAGCCAGCTACTATAAAAACAATTTACGATTTTTCCGTAGAATTCTATAGTAATTTCAGATATAAACTTGTATAATTTTAGCTAAAATCAAATTCTTGTTTACCTCATGTCCTTAATGGTGAGTCACTGAGATATAACAAAAAAAAAGAATAGCCAAGATATTATTATAGTTTAGATTCTGTTTTCTTGTACAAACTTGCATTACATTGTATTCTTCGTTTGTATTACTTTTCTCAATCTCATTGATTTCTGAAAAGAGGTTTAACACCTATTTGTAAAACCCAACTCGCTCGCATATCAAATTTCGCATGTGCTTTTAGAAGTCTATAGCGAAAGCGTGTCATTCTTAAGTAACGCCGGAAGATATTCTTAAAAAGACGATGCTTCTAATCTCATGCCATCTATAGACACTACTAACTGTCAATTTCTTTTAGTCTATCAAGTTAAAGGATTTCTTTATGCTTAATAAATATTCAGCAGCCTTAAATAACATAAATACATAATAATATTAATAACAACTGTTAATAGTTATTATTATTAAGATAATAAGAAATTTCTGTATTTATTTATTTAGCATCCACTCAATTCATTAAAATTTCAATATCAAAAATACAAGATAAAAACAAATAAATGGCATGACTCTTATTACGGGTGATATCATTATCTTTGGTAATGCAATGCCAGTCTTCAAAAAATGACGTCACGCACATTCTGGCGCTTCATTGGGTGATGGCGACGTAATGCCATTTACCGTACCTTTATCAAAACGAAGTAGAAATACGGTACCGTATAATAAATATTCATTGTTGATCGATTTAAGATCATTTAAAAGAGCGTTCCAGCCCTTGATATCAGGTGCGTATCAAATTTTAAAATATCAAGGCATATATTGAAATTAGTGTTCTCACTTATCTATTCTGAATATGTTGTGGGCTGGCCCCCCTCCCCCCACCCACCCCCATTTGAAAAATTCTGGATCCGCCCCTGGATACCTAAGATGAAGACCTAGACTCAATGCCAGTTGTCTTGGGAACAGCAAAGTTAATATATGCTATAAATTAAAAATAACAATGAAAATACCATTAAGATTATTATTCATCAATTAGTAATATTATTACAGTATAATCTTCAACATCATTATCGGTATCATCATGTCTTTTTTGCCCCTTGGATTTAGATAAGCAGACATAAATATTAACTTTCATCTAGTTTACTGAACTTTACATTCTCTGGTAATTTATTTTAAGATGTTTGTATCTAAATATCTGCAGAAATCTGAATTGATTCTGAGTTCAATAACTTTTATTTTAAATTTTCCACAGGGAGTTTATGTGTCCGTTTCTTCAAGTTGTCTAGCATTTTGTATAACAACAAAAACTAGTGTCAACCAGATTGCTTTAAATGTAAATAAACCAGAAGCATAAAAAGGTACGCTTTCCTAGATAGGTTAAAATATGAGAACAGCTAGAAATGAGTTTAAAAAAAAGGATTTCGACACCAAGAAAGACAACAAAAACGGTTGTCACGAGCCTGCCGAGTAGGCTGAACACCAGATGAGGATAATGTATCTACGATTATTGAGCATGCAATCCAACATAATGGCTGTTATGTTTTAAGATGTATGTGGATATATTAAGATTATCATATTCCAAACAAGCCATGTATGAAATTGCATTCTTCGTGCTTAAAGCAGACAAAACAAAATCATCAACATACAGTACGACGGTAGTGAAGTTACGCACTCCAAAAAAAAAATAAGCAGGAATTCCTTTTCTAAATGTTATTTGTCTATATGCAGTGCTATGTTGATATATTATAATTATTATTATTATTATTATTACTACTACTATTATTATATTCACATTTTTCTAGATGATCTTTTTAAATCGTGATATCATATTGTAATTTTGTAAATATTGTAATTGTAAATTTCACTATTATTGTAATCACACACAGCAATGAGTGGATCCTCACAAGATGAAAACAATATATACACCTATAATATTTATGATTTGTTAAGTCGGCCAGTAACACTACCAGATTCAGGTTCATTTTCCTATGATATATCCAATAACATATTTGATTACACTTCATCTGATATTGTAAGTTTGTCTTAATCAAGATCATACATCATACACACCTTGTGTCCTTACTACACATTGATTTCTGATTTTAAAAGTGAAAAATATTAAAATATAATATACTATACTAGGTCAAGTAAAAAGAAAAATTAATCTCACATCCATTTTCTTTTTTAAAAAGGTAAAGACGAGGCCATTTTTTTGGTTAATAGCTTTGTTGTGCTCTTTGCTACCAGTATCTATACTGGACGAAGTATATGATATATGAAAAATGACACTTATTGGTAATGCTCTTCCAGAAACTAAGGCCTGCCATGCTAACAAAAAAATTATAAGAAATCGCGGCAGCAGAAAAAAAGAAAAAAAAGGCAAGGATGAGAAACTAATTATTTTTGTATTTGGCCTTATCATTTATTATATAATTTTTCACCATAGTACACAAGACACCTATATACTGGCCACATGCTGATCTAATTGACATATATGGCTCTATGAAAAATTAACGATAATTGTCAACAAAGACCTATGGTCCTTGATGCATTGAAAATATGCAAATGTTTTTATTCTTTAATAATGAAGTACAGTAGTACACACAGAACGTAGAGTACAGCTGGTACGTTAACACCTGCTAAGAAAAGGGATCACGTAAAGCGTTAACAACGAGAAACGTATTAACAGTACAAAACACTACAATAATATTGAAGTCAGTAAAGAAGTCACAGATGATGGGGTGAAAAACAGGAAAACGAGATATGTACAAACGCTTATAAAAAAAATCAATTATAGAAATGTAACTTGTATAAATGATTAGATGGCAGATATTTAAACCACATTTTCTTTATGTTAAAAATCCTCTTAAAATCAATATGATCGATCATTTCCGCGAATTAATACTATTGACATGGATTGAGTACTAATTTTTTTTAAAGTTTTAAGGAAAAATATAGATGTTGAATGACCTACCCGTGGGGACTCGTCCACAAGGAGAATTGAACATCGTTCGCAACGAAGAAGTGATATCGTTAACTCCAGTATCCGACGCATTATGCTAGAGAGTGTGCTCTGCTCCTCGAATATCACCCTTGCTAAATCAAGAAGAACCTAAGCCAAAAAACATTGCAAAAACAAGGAAAAAACAAAAGTGTAATAATTAAAATCATAAACTTGTTAATATGAAATTTACAAATCTTATAAATACAAAATAAAGAAAAATTGTGAATAATAAAAATCATAATATTTTATTATGATTCGAAGTGCATTATTATATAATAATATTGCCGTAGTTCCTTGCCCGCCCTTAGATCAACGCCCGCCCATCGACACCCTCGGTTATAAGCCCACCCTCAATGATAAGTATGGGGTATGCTTACAACTGAGCAGAACTTTTATATGAGAAACTATGTAATGTGATACTAATATTAATAATATCAACGCATACAAGTAAACAGGCAGTACTTTTCTATTCTGAATACTGAACACACAGCATATAAATAAATAGCATCATTCCTTGTTGTATCACCCAAAAGGACGTTTTCTCTATATCCATTAAAGGAGCTGTTAATCCCTATATTATTCAAGTCACGTTTAAAGTTGCATCTCTTGAAATTACTTGTCCAGTTCTAATATGTGACTACGATCTGCAAATCAAATGTTTGGTCATACATTGGCTGTCACATCAACCAACACCTGATTAAATTTGGGTTTGATGTCCCTATGTCAACTTCAGTCCTTTGACACTGGCAACCTTTCTGCATTCCCAATGCGCCATCTTGTAGTTTTAATTGTGCATATCTATGTCAAAGGTCAAAATATACAGTACTATTTGCTACATTTTTATAAACCATCAATTAAGAATTATTAACCTTTGCCATACATAGTATTTGAAATGTATAACCAGTTATCAAATCTGTAAATAACTTCTATAAAGTGCAAACTCATACATTTACATAGAAATTAACAGTTTAAACTAAGAAAAGGCTTGTTCTGATGCTCCTTATCTTTTTTTTTGTAGGCCTGATTGTCGAAAAGTGTCTTGAATAACGAACAAAAAAAGTATTAGTGTTGTTTACCTTGTTGCGTTTCACTTCCAGCATGGCACGCTGGTACAGCCGAGCATTATTGATACCAATTCCACAAAACTGCAAGTATTGTCCGAACACCTGCGACAAAGGAACAAGAGTCAAATTAAAAGTCGTTCATCATTGTACAGAAAAAGCTTTAAAGAAAATACTGAAGAAAGCAATCAATAATAATATATAATTATAAACGTCCCATGATCAATGACATATTGGGGGTGGGGCGGTGAGCAGGGGAACCCCTCAAAACACTCTCCCCACGAGTTTCCCCCCCCCCCCAAAAATCACGCTCCAGTAGTTAAAAATCACCTCAAATCACCTTATTTTGCAAGATAAATCCCGTCATCTCAGATTTAGAGGTCGTAGTATAGTTGGCCTACTGTGTTACATTAACACAGCTTTAGCCATCAATACTAATGAGCAACTAATAGCCCTATTTAAAATATTCAACCAAACAAAAGCATTTCATTAATAAAAAAAAAAAATCATCAACTTGATATGCTTAAATGTTAAAGAAAATCAACAAATAATTTACAATACATATTCATGTCTTATGCATATTGATTTATTACTATAACAGATAAATAAATAAATAACAAAAATAACTCAAATAATAATAATAATAATAATTCTAAAAATAATAATGCATTTCATGTTTCTTTAACACATAGTAAAAAGTTATACCTGCCAGTTTTTCTATAGCTACAGATATATTCATTCTAAACCAAATCTACTGGTTGATACAAATCGATGATGGATAATGTCTTCAGCAAAATTGATACATATCAAGTAGGGCAAGTTTAAGTAAATAGAGATGGCAAACAACTTTACAAGCCAAGCTTCTCAAGGTACCTTGCTTTCAACAACCACGGTTGCCACGGGCTACAACTCATGAGTGTACGATATGTACCTAGACATCACTGACAGGTTCGCCAATACAGAGAGAGCAAGCCCTGGTTATATTAATTGTGCAGTGCATATCTCTGATGAAGGTTGTTTAATGTTAATAAATTTCTCCTACGTACAGCATTTGAGCATAAATTTTGTAAGGCAGTCTTAATTGAAATAATATAGCTACGATGCACATCTGTATGAAATACATTAACTTTTAAAAAACAATATTCCCTTTTCATATCTTGGAAGCTTAATTTTTTGATTGTAAATGATTAGAAACTTTTTTTTCTCCATATTTTGGTTAACCAGTTGTACAGTAATTGATATCAACACCTTTTTTTTCCATTTAAAACTTCTTACATCCCATGAAAAATGAGCCTGGCTGTTCACCAAGATAATTGCCAGTCAACGTGCAGCCGCCTAAAAACAACTCTAATCATTAATTACTGATGCTTCAGGCACCTGACGAGCTACATTTTTTACCCTACATCAAAACTGCTCTCTGGCAAATGATAACCAACAATGTTGACATAACTAGGGGACTTTTACATGGCTCCCTTTTCACATTGTTTACTTGCCCTCCATACATCTCAATACAAGGACGCGGAGTAGCTTCGGTGTTTTTTCATCAACCAACCCGTCTGTCAATCTCAGCTCTGGTCTTGTGCATGGGTGAAAGCTAAAGTATACTCACTAATGATCAAAGTAAATGCAGGACATGTATGCATATTATGTATAGAGGATGTGAAATAGAAACACTGTAGTTCCCAGGGGCGAATTTAGGGGACGAGGCAGCCCCAGCCTATCCCCTGGCCCACCTTTTGGAAAGTCAAAAATAAAAAAAGAAAGAAAAAGAAATTACTGACCGCCCAAAACACCTCAGAGTCATTTCCGGGCGTCTTGAAAACAAAAATTTTGCGGGGCATGCTCCAAACACCTAGGGCAGTTTTGTCCCTCACTTGGGCCCCCCTTTTGGACATCTCTGGATCTTCCCCCAGTTCTTTGGGTATATACCCACCTCCGGTATAAGCCCAACTCCTACTTTATGTTGAATTTCAAGAACCAGCGTTTTTTTTTTCAGCGAACATCACACAGAACCATGTTTTATTCTTAAATTTTGTGTAAGTGTAATAGTTTGTGGCACGGACATCAATTTTATGTACAAGTAAAAAAAATAAATTAAATATTAGATATTCCCCTCCGTCTGAATTTAATAAATATTAGGTATTTATCAGTCTAATTATCACACTACATTCTTTATAGGCTTATGCAATATGAATGTAAGCAAAGAACGAAGTACCCCTCAATTACTTTTACCTCTAGCAGTCATATTTTTTGTATTTATCAATAACATTTTATATTATTTCCTCCTCCGCCTAGATGAATTTAGTACTATTCTACTAAATAATGAAACAAAATGTTATATTTCTAAAACTATGCTCACTAAACAAAGAATAAAAAAGTCTCGCATAAGAAATAAACACACTGTTTATCCTGCAAATTATTGTAAACTATATGTTATATCAATATAATCAATTTAAAACTCAAATCATTATGACTTAAGTATAAATAACAAGTGACAGAATTTTAGTAATGACCAATTTCATTCATTTCTCAACTGAAATGTGCATAAATGAAAGGTGACAACCAGTGGCTTTGTCATTCCTAGACTGCACTCTCCACGCGAAAGTCTTATATGGCTTAGACCATCTAGAGAATTATAATTATATGGCCTTTCATTGTATCTTCCCCAGATAGCACTTCCCAATACAGATCCTGTTTAATTCCAAACTAATATCAACCTGCCAAACATTTCCTAGGTTACAAAAAATTTAGGATTAGCTGGTTTTTTTATCACCTATTTTCAAGTACCGGTAATTTATCAAATAAATGAGTCAAATAACTATATTTTAATGTTTATCATTCTATAAATCGTTTATTTTTCTATAAGTGATTAACGGAAAGGAGGTCATCCTTGGAGCTGAGAGAATGAATAGGTGTAGCAGACATTCGAAAGTCCCTATAAAAGAAGACTGTGGGGGTTTGAGCTTGTCGAGTAGATGACAACCTAGGCCTTGAGATTCTGTTGTCATGTTAGGCATAGAGCAGCAGGCCGTCATTAAAGACGTGGATGAGGTTGTGCAAGGTCATCTTCAAGCTATCTATCAGCTATTCGCCATAATCTGGCCCACGCAGATTGCAGTAGAAAAGCGCCATCATATGAACCCATCAACCCCATGTTAGATTGAAAATTATGAATCATTATTCTTTTTAAAAAACAGACATATTACAAATTTTTATATTTTGAAAAATTGTTATAATTGTCTAGAGACATTTTGCCCAGAAAAGCTGGAAAGGAGAAGGGGAGGGAGAAGGCAAGGGATAGAGTCACATTTGATGTCTACAACTTAGTTGTATTAGATACTTTCGTTAAACTGTTAATATTAACCATACTGTGGCCATTGAATATGTAAGAAAACCTCAAATGCCACACTCTCTAAGGACCCAAGAAATATGTGATAATGAATATTAAAATGTTATCCAAGAATAATCATAATATTTCTGCAAAACATAATTCCAGCTAAATCTCTTCATGCTTCAAAGTAACTTTACGAAAAAAACTTCACAAAAACAAATATGAAATTTGATAACAGGTCCTTCTGGTGGTGATTGGGCAGTACACCAGGAGACAATTAATCTCCTACTCTTTTCCAAATACCGTAGTGTACTAAGTTCTTAACGTGTACACGGGCCATAATGCACACAGAACCAACGCCTTAAACGCCTCATCCGAAAGACGGTGCGCTATTGTAACTTGCATTTGAATTTTAGTCCTCCAGCTTTGAAACACAAGATCCGTGATGGGAATTGAACCGAGGACCTAGAGATCTCCACGGTTCAGCACACACAGATTGATTTTTGTATGTGTGAATTGTGTATGTTATCGTATTTATTTAAATAAAAAGCTCTGCTTTAAATAAACACACCCCTCCCCAGTGCAATGAACGCACACCCTCAAATAAATGTCCTGTGGCGGAATCAATAAAGTATGACCAATTGTCTAAAGTACTATCTGTTTTGTTATTCACTACCCATACGATTATTGCAAATAATATTTGTAGCTGATGCAATCATGTGACATCGCTGCCTTCCCGCGAGAATATTCCCCGGCCTTGCAGTCAAGGGGAAAGGAATAGCTGCTAGGCATAACTCATATCCAGTCAGGTAATGTATTCAAGTACCAGGTATATAAAGGTGCTAATGGACACCAAGTAGATAAAGAAGAACAAATTAAGTTATAGGCATACATGAACTATTGTACCGCGACAAGACTTAGTTTATACGGGGAATAACGAAATACAGGTGTACATAATTTATAAAAACAATAACGATTAATCAATTAATTCAGTCCATACAGGCAAGCAATGCTGACAGTTACTACTTATGCGCAAGGCTGGCCACATGGGTATGTTAATGACATGCAAGCCAGGAGCTGAGAATTTAAGCTAGCCACGTTCAATCATGTTAAATATAACATGCTATCGATCAAGATTCAAGTGTAAACATAGCTATGCATGTAAACTTAATGGGGTGTCTGAATATGCCCCCTGGTTAAAACATCAAGTAGATAATAAACAGGCAAGAATCACCACAACATAACTAAACAATAGTAATAAACAACAACAACAACAACAACAACAACAACAACAACAACATTAATTTGGTTCTAAGTAGTTTTCTAATGTGGTTTGTTCTGTCAATGGAAGACAAATTTTAGTGGGGGTGGGTGGGGGGTCTTCAGCTCCTCCTTCAAAAGTTTTGTTCTCTAGATGCTTTGAAATGCATTTTTGTACATTATGAGAGGTCTATTATTGAATACACTCTGAATTCATAGTTTTCAGTACTTCACTATGGATAATAAATAATTATGATGATGAAGAAGATGATGATGATGAGGAGGAGGAAGCTAGGTGATGACAGCCTCCTGTGCAAGATTAATTAACAGGCCCTTTGATGTGAAGTGTCAAGCGAGGCCCATAGCCTGAGTTATGGTTGGGCATTTGGCGTTATTATTGTCATTGTCAAATGTTAATGCACAGTCGGACAATTGTTATATGATTTATATCTCATTTGTATATAGAAAGAAATATGAAACCCATAAAATGTCAGTTTAGGCATACATTTATCTG